GTGCGGTTGGAGAAATTCATCGGATATCTTTGGTGCCACTTCAAGGTTAGGGCGTTGGAAGGCTGCCCCGGTGGAAGTGTTGGCCATTTCTCCGGTAAGGGGTAGACCTTTAGGCAAGGAATGAGAAAAAGGAGCTACCGTTCGCAGATGCCAAGCTCCTCAGGTGGTGCGCTCTACTCGGGTGACGACTCAGGCGTGTGACAACGGCCGTTTGACCGTGTGGAGTAGGTTAGGGAGAAGTACCAGGAAATATCCAATTCATGTTAAGAATCTGCTTTTGTTCGTTCGCCGGCGGTTTGAGAAGCGTATACGAATGTAGCTGTTCGGGGAGTTGTGCAGCGCAACCGCTAGATCCGTCACCTATCTGGCACACAGCCCGCGGGCTTTGTCCCCCAGGAAAGGTCTATCATTTTCCTTCATGGCAGAAAGGCGTCTAGCTTTTGCAGATCTCCCGCAACCAGAGACTATCCTTGAGACGAGTAAATTGCTTAGGAGTACTTCGAGTCTCACCGAGATTTTTTCCAGGACGACCTGGTGACTCCTCCAAATCGCTGCAGTAGTTACTGCGTCCACAACCTAGATCGATCAGTCGGTCGAGGGCCAGCCGGGCTTTTGTCATCAACGACAAAAAGGCCGACATGGCCAGAATGCCTTGTCTTTTCTGGGCGGCGCATGCGCTCCTGGGACAAAGGGTTCATCGTGAAACATGGCGTGGTGGGTGCCAATACTGAACGAATACTGTTGTCAGCAACAATGCACGACGACAGGATCCTGGAAAAGGGAACCACAAAAATATATCATCACCTGGTAGGCGGCGTCCTCTGATGGTGGGTTGACACTGGAAAGCATCGACTCAAGACGTGGCTCGAGCGATTGGCTGTCGAGCATGGTGAGAGCTGCCGAGCCTCGTCGATTCGTTCTCGGAGGCATCTTCCCTTAGGAAGAGCAACCGCCAGTCACTACAGTACAGCGAGCTCCCTAGTCTTGGCCTGGTACTGCACAAAACACGCGTGTCGATTGATGAAGTTTTGTCGCAGGTAGAGAGGCGGTCTACCAAAGGAGTTGGCAGTGGGTTGAAATACTTCGACGCAAAGTTTTCTGTCCTATCTCACCCCAGAAGGGCCTGGGGAGAAGCTTGCCAACACCGAGAAGCACGCCTTAGGATCAGCCGAAGCAATCAGAGCCATGATTCTATCGAACCAACTTGACTTATAGCGTATACCCCAAATCTTGTGCTTCGTGGGAGTACATGCGGGTATGGCGGAAAAAGAGGCTGGTGATTTCCACGCGCCGTTGAGTGTGTTGTCTGTCCTACAAGTACAAGCAGTGTTAGAGTAGGCGAATCGCGGCTCTGGAATAACGCTGAGCTCGATGGTTCCTTCCGACCCTTCAACGATGTCTGCAGGCGGAAACTGGCGATGGAGTTTTTGCTTGATTCCATACATGCCCCCGAAACCAACCCTTATCAGATGGCGCTTTGATTCGACTCGTGCTCGCCCGAGTGATCACGGAGATGAGTCTTCATGTTGCGGTTTCGCGGGACTGTCCAACAGTACAAGACCACCAACCATGTACCCCTCACTTGTGCACGCTATGCCGACCCAAAGCCGTTTCACCAGTACCATTGACAGCTGAAGCAAGGAGTTAGATCGATAATACCCTTCAGCAGGTGCGTTGAACACGTTCACGTGTCGACCAACTGTTCACGTTCGCCATGTCATAATGCGGCAAAATAGCGTCCGGTTCACCCAATTCCGCCGCAATTTATCACTTTATTGCGATGCGCAGATGACGGGCAGATGTACAGCAGTGTGAGCACGCTGTGCCGGGCATGCATGTCCCCACGTTCGTGGTATCTGCCGATTTATTCCGACCGTACTCAAGTAGCCCATCCTCTTCATTGTTGAAAGGTCGGTAAGGCGGGGCCACAATATACCTCGAGTGACCGTACTGGGTGTGCAACAACTTTTTGAACGAATATCTTAATTCAGCTGCCCGGCTAAACTTTTTGCCCATGGTTCAAGTAGCGATGTAGTAACCTGCAAGTATGTGGTGCAGTGGAAGACCCATACAATAACGAAAGTTGCCGGACGCAAGTGTTGTTTTCCGTAGGTGAACACCTCGTTCATCAAAAACGGTAGTCTACACCGACACGGGACCATTTCGTGCAGCACCAGGACCGGCATGTCTCATTCCTCTTGGCGTAGCGCCGAAGCGCTGCACAAGAGGCGGACCGAACGGAAGAGGATTGAGCGTGCGGGCGAGAGGGCGCGGGAGAGGCAGAAGCGGGAGGAGGAGGAGTGGCACATCACCGGGGAACGGGCCTTCCGACCGAAAGAACGGAGTTACCCGCATGGCGGCGGGGTGGATGCCGCTGCTTGCAACGGTTTCTTGGGCTCGGCCGAACGAGCGATGCATCTCTACGACAGGTGGGCAGGTCGATTTGCCCTTTTCGAAGCAAACTATATGCGTGGGCACCGAATTTGACCTCATCATTGATTGATTTACAAACTTTCGCACCAATATCATCCAACCGCCACGTCGCACAAGCTACTTTTCGCCGGTTGAGCGGCGAGCATTCGGAATGGGCCACAACCCATGCTTGTACCCCATATTTATGAACGTTTACTCTCGAATGACCCGCGTGCGATATGTCATATGCGTTGAGTGCCAAGGGCACAAGGGTCTGTAACCTATGTGCGTGCAGCAAGTCTGGTGGAATCGGACTCTCCTACTGTCTCGAGGAAGATTCCTCGCTTGCAAGAACGATGTCGGAGAAGTTGGTCTCTCTCTCTTTCGCCACGGAGGCTATTCCCGTCTGTGGTTGATTGCTCAATCTGTGCCCAATCTGTGTATCAGGCTCGAAGCGAGGAGCGACTATTTATTGAGATACTGAAGTACTGTAATACATTGACTGACTTTGATTCTCATTTTTTTTTGCCCTACTTGAGTGTGCAGGTACTGCAAGCGGGAGAAAATCATCCAATACCTAGTGTCTAACTTGTTGCTTCGCCATGCGCCTTCTTACGTCGATGGACATTTTTCATCGCTCTAGAGGAAAGGCTCAGACAGAAGAGATGTCGGCGGTGCTGGCTTCTCTCGAGGAGAGGAACGCGGCACTTGCACAAGCCTGTTGTGAATACGAGGACAAGCACTCATCGCATCTTAGCCCGGACAGAGTGTGCGTTCGTGGCCAGCCCACTATACCGAAGTAATGTTTAGCGCTTGTTAAGTTAGGTGTTTATGATCTTGGATAACAGAGTCACACCATTGGTAGGGGAATAAATATAATGCATTGATTGTTGCCTCTATGAAACATCTAGCATAATCGGGATTCCTCAGGGGCAGACGTGTGAAGTACAATCGTTCACGTGTAAAACGTTACTGTTCATCGCTCTAATCCAGTGGGATTGCATTCTCTTGTTGCGCATCCAAACGTTATTATTTATTTCGCACCTTGGATGAGATGTCGATTCTTCACACTGTTGTTGGGGTATTGCCGCGAAAACATATTCTACCCCGTTGCTTAAGTTCACGTTCTTTGTTTGGCGATGAGCACCCCCGGTAAACTGAACGTATCAAATGACGATAGTGGATCGTTCTGTGCAAGTTTGCCTCGATCTGTCTGTGCTTTCGTGTCATGCGGTTCCGCGTTGAAGGTGGGGGATATCCTACCACACATTTCGTTGGAATGGTACGTCCAGGTTTGCTGACATTTCTGCCTTTCACTTTCTCCGGTAAATGCTTGCTATGGTGTCGACAGGGAAAGTGGAAAGTGGGAGGTCGGCACAAAGGAGCTGCGGCTCTTTGTAGAAACCGCGAAGAGAATGACTTCTGTACAACGCCACACGTTCACCCAAGTCCTAGCCCCACACCGGGTAAGGGTTTCAACGTGCACGTGTCATTGGTGTGTATACCAAGGAAATTGCCACACGACTGTAGGGAATCGGTATCAGTGTCAATGCAACGACGGAATGCAACGCGAACAGATCGGTATCGCCAGTGCAAGAAATGTACACTGTGGAAGATGGATCACACGGTAGAGTTAGAAAAAGTCCCGTTTTTCTTGTTCTCCGAGAGTGCTCCCAATCAGCGGAAAGGAGAGTAGAGGGACCATCGAAAAAACGTTCGTGGTTGTCACTAATGTAGTGTTTCGTTCGTTTTGATGTGGATAACATCCGTGCAAGATACCTATACAGTATGAACCAGCACGGAGGATGGGAGTATACAGTAGTGCAGTGGATCGAACGCTACAATGGACTGCATCGTGCTAACGAAAACAATAGCAGAACTTAGTTCAGTTTTTCTGGTCGTAGCTTGTGAGTGACGTCCAGACAACATTTTGCGAACAAACGACGAATTTCATTGGCATAATCCACGATATTGGCTCCGCCCCCGTAGGACAAGTCTGACGGATACATCGGCCCCGTCGAGCCTCTAGCGGTAAGTCTTCAACGAGCGAAGAACGCTTCGATCGAGCAAGCGGTCTCCGGGGCGATATTTTCTTCGGGATCGCCATCTTCATCTTCCGTCAGCGGAGGTGGTCGTGGGAAATCTAGTGGGGCGGGGAGATTTTCGCGCGGACTTCGAGCCGTTACAGTGCGACCACCTCCAAGCGCCACGACTTCAACGTAGAGAAAGAGAGAGAACGAGAGAGCACTGGATTGTTGTTCGGGTAGTTGCTGGCATGCACACTATGTCCACACCGTTGGGGGGGTGAGGGTACCTGCGCGGGAGTCACCATTCTTCTGAGAAATAAGCTCTAGGAAACGATGGAGGTACCCGTACATGAGCCTCATTTAGTCTAGGGCGCTCGGAACACTTTACAACGTTCGCCGGTTTTGTTTTGTCGTGGGTGGTGCATTTTTCTTTTGATGAATGTGAAGGCGTGAGCGTCATGTGAGCTTGTGTATGCACATTATCCAGCGTTATGTGTCCATTCACCTCATCTATGAACACAAAATCGATTGTCCACTCATCGTGACAATCGCCGACGTCCTGGATTTCCAAGAGCACATTGTGATTGGTGTCTCCTGCATTAACGTTTGGCTCCACCAGTGATCGGCCGTCTCGATAGAGTACTATGTCCCATTGCTATCCTACGAGATCGTAAAGCGCACAAAATGATTCACAGGAACACTGGGATCTGTTGCACCGGCGATGGAAGGACAGCCCAGTCGTGACCCCGAAACTGACTTCTGTACAAAACCTCTCGCACTTGCATTGGAACCCTTCGTTGCTGGTATGAACCTTCCGAAGCATCAAATACTACCAAGCAGCTCCTCCTTCCACGACAGGCACGACCAACAACAAATCCTTCATCGGAAAAAGCGCGGTCAAACGAAAAAAATCGAGTTCCCCGCGGAGAGCAAAAGACTGCTACACAAACACTAATGTACCTACACATAACATTTACATACACGCGGTTGGTCTGCTGAATCACACCAAACTGTGCGTCAGCCAGGCGCCACGACTATGTGCTACGAGAGTTCTGGGCTCGGTTAGGGGATTGGTGCCCATGCGTGTGAAAGAGCAACACTGAGTTTTGGAAGCTCGAGCATGTCGTGAGTTGCGTGCACGATGGTGTATGGCGAAAGAGCAACACGGCCGTACAACAGGCATACTATACCAATGTTTCACGCCCACGCTGTTGCCGTCTGCAGTATGCACGCCCCAGCTCTAGGCCAACATACAGCAAGCCCTGAAGAGCGTACGCTAAACGCAAACCAACCCCGGTACGACCTGCCGTGCTCATCTACGCTACAAGTGCAGTAACCTTCTCCATCGCCTATAACACAACAATAGCGGGAAGGTCTCGACCCCCCCCTTCTCGGCCCTATCGGGTCCAAAGTCGAGGCCCCCACGCATCCCGCAGTCAGGGGTCGATAATCAAGGGTGCAGCACCTTTGGTACACGGTCATCGGATTCATTCAGGCACGGACATGTCGTCGACCAGCACGTCCACAACGTCAAGACCAACCGCGTTCTCGTCAAGGACATAGCAGGAAGGTACGGAGGACAAAAGAGGACAGCCGAACGAGCTAGTTCGGCAAGACGTGCAAAGAACCTAATCTTTGGAGCTCGATATTTCTCCGCGTCTTTCTCCCGAATGTACGTACGTCTTGCCTTGCCTTGCGGTCACAACACAACGAGGTATACTTCAAGCCGACCGAGCAGAAACGCTCAATGGTTGCTGCCGCACGCAACCGGTGCGCCTTCAAAACACGCTGGCTTGTGTGCACACAACGACGTGCACCAAAAACACGGCATGCCACCCGATGATACCACAACACCCCCTTTGGCTGTAACGGCCACCGCAGTAACAGCACCAGCAGCAAGCGGCGTGACTACTACCGCTTCGATGTTAACTGCAACCGCTTGGAAAAGAACAGCACCAGAAGCGTTGCAAGTCCTCTGCGTACGCACATTCAACCAAACATCAAAGGGGGCGTTTATGGTGTTGACCTTCCCACCTCTCTACACGCCCTCCCTCCCGTAGTCGGAAGAGAGAGAGTCCCAATCAATCTTGTTGAGAATTTCCTTTTTACATCGTGCGCACCCCAATTTTCGATAACGACCATACACCTGAGTATGAAACTTGTACCGCAACCCGACGCAACATTCCCACAAAGAGAGCGTATCATCATTGCCGCTCACGCTTCACAGAGACTCCAACCGAGCCTTCATGGCGTTCGCCTTCTCCTCCTCCTCAGCGGCAGCAGCAGGCGCCGCAACCGCTGCCGCTTCGGGAACCGCCGTCGGCGCATCCACCGCCCCTTCGAGAACCCCTTCCGTAATCTCGGCGATAACCTTGTCGACCTCCGCGTCTGCCTGGGCATCGAGTCCCTCGGCCTGTGTGCCGAAACAAAAATCCGAAATGCGGCACAACCCGGACAATGTACTATTGACACAGGCTGTACTGTCCTCAGAATTTGCGACGCATTTTCGATGCAACCCTAAACCGTGTGTCTCTGCTCGTGAGCGTCTTGCTTTCTCGACAGTCGAAGACATACTGCCCAACTTTGTTCTTGTGCGACATAGACAAACGAAAAAACAATTGACGAGTTGCTTAGCAGGCAAGACGAATAGAGCGCCCTCAGGAGACGTGGCCGTTGACAAGCAAGCCTCTGGAACAGACTACAATACTTCAGTGTTGTCTTCCACATTCAACCGCTTCAGTCTCTGCGCAGAAAATAGTACGGAGTATGGTATCTTGGTACAAGAAAAAAAAACGATACGTGTACAACGAACGACAAAGGGGCCTTCGAAGTCCATCTCACGTCTGTAAGGGCAAGTCCATCGGCGACAACCTCCTCCACTAAACCCGCGCGCTCCATCTCCGTTGCCAGCTGGAGCATATTCTCCTGCAGCTCAGGAATCTTCACCAAACTGCGAAACAAAAAAAAAACAAGAGGAAAACGGTAAGAAAAAAAACGCAGACGGTGGGAGCGCACACATAAGAACAGGCTTCAATTTAGTCGGCACGTCAGAACGATAACCCTCAGATATACCCCATACGAAAACCTACAGGTAGCCGTTACTGCACAAGAGGACCCCAGGGGCGCGCAAAACGGCGTGTACGTACTGTACGTTACCGTGGAGGGTCACCACGAACACCACAACACGCCCTTCGTTCTGTCCGTGGTGGGTAGCACAGGAGCCATCGTGTTGTGTACGTAGAGCAGGAGAGAGAGTTGGTCGCGGGGTCCAGCTACCCAGTTTCCGATGAGCCGCAACTTTCGTGTCTTCCGACTTCGCAGCCCTCACGCAGCTGGGCTTAGCAACACGGCACCAAAGTGCCGTATACACCGATCGACCAAACTTGGACAAAACTTGTGCCAGCACCAAGGTGACAAGGTCCGCAACGGGGATGGGTACATCGACTGTCAGCGCTACCATCCACGGTCAAGAGCGTAGACGGATTGAAGGCCGTCGACAAACACAAATCATACATGAATGGACAACACATTCGGCATCGTCGAGCTCGGTAGGTGGTTGCACTTACTCTCCGATGGACGCCATGATCTCTGTGCTCTTCTTGATGACGCCGGTCACCTTGATCAAAGCTGAACAAAGCACACACACAACAGAAAAACGATGAGCACAGCAAAGCAGAGGAGTAGATCCTTGGGTAGAGATGCGAGCCTAGCCCTTCAAGCCATGCCCCGCACCAAGCAAGCTGCACAACGCGGCGGCGTGAAGGGCGAGAAGCAAGACTCTACAGCATCGAGCGTTGACGCGTTGCGCGGTGTCTCTGAGGTTGCATCTGAACCGGCGGCAGCAGCTGCTGCGCCCTCCTGAATCCATATCGGCGACCGAACGGCGACACAACCGTAACCTTGACGTTAAATTAATTGACCACACTGAAATGCACGAACAGACACGGCCCCGACTCACCTATTTGGTTTTGCAGTTGCATCTGGACGGAGTGAAGCTGTGCCTTTCCCTCGTGCATGCGGTTCTTCGCGTTACGCGACATGACTAACTCCTTCGCAAGCAGCTGGAATACGAAATCGAATATACCACAGAAGCAGAACAAGGACGATGCAGTACACAATCATCAGGAGACGAAACACACATGACCAGTTGCGTGTAGCTCATGAAATACCCTTCTTGTCATCGCCCACACGATTAGGACACGCAATTTCAGACGGAAAACGACGGTACAAAGCAACAGCAAATTCAAAGATATCATGTATCGAATACTCATGTTCTTGCAAGTACAACGCCCTCCAAAGCCTGCGAGCCTGGGCACAGGAACATGCCTAACGTTGTGCTCCGAGCACTCACGTGACCTACGTGTCGCGTTCGTGCTCTTGGTTGCTGACTTGCCCATCTACGCTAGATCTCGTCACTTAGCAAGATTGCGAGATATGGTGTCGGGAATACCATCTGCTTTACATCGTGTGAGCTTTCGTCCCATCAACATTCTGGGCGCCAGCTCAAGTCCAACACCAACATTGGCGAGAAAACCCGTGTCTACAAATCGCGAGATATTGAAAATTTCCACGGGTGTGTTCTGTAGGGTACGGGTACTCCCTGTAGGGTACCGGGGGTGTCACAGAAACCACAGAATTATTCTGTAGGGTACGGGAGGTGTCACAGAATCCACAGAACTATTCTGTATTGTACGAGGGTGTTACAGAACCTCACAGAACTATCTGTATTGTACGAGGGCGTTACAGAACTATTCTGTAGGGTGCGGGAGGTGTCACAGAACCCACAGAACTATTCTTCATTGTACGAGGGTTCTACAGAACCCCACAGAACTATTTTGTGAACTATTCTGTAGGGTACAGGATGTTACAGAACTCTGTGTCGACAGACGAGCCCCCGGTGCTTACCCGATACCCCTGAATTACTCTACGGAACATGACGAGTTTGACGACGTGCGTGTTTACGACGAAGGTACAGGAAGAGGCAAGGGCGCTTTAGCACCCAACAAAATAGAAATAATACTTTTAGCACTAAAATTAGCCCATCGTTCAAATCAACTGCCGTAGCCGCGCAGCACTGAGTGCACGACCGCGAAACTGAAGTTCGTTGACAAAACACCCGGAGCAGAAGCCTTAGCCTTCCCATGCGACTCCGACTCAACCAACATTGACTGCTACGTCCTTCTTCCGGAGTCAAAGAAAGAGGCTACATATCAAACACTCGCGACTTTCACAGGCCGATGTCCGCGTTGTTGGTGTTCTCCTCAATCACGTCGAAGGCAGCCTCAGCGGCCGCCAGGTCAGCATCCCCCCATTGAACCGTGATGGCAGACATGCCCTGATATCCTTGGCGGCAATGATGGGAATGTCCTTGAACGCGGGGATAAGTTTGTAGTTGGCGTGGAGGAACATCACCATCTCTACCCAGTAGGTGTCGATGCGGCTCCTGCTGTGCGTNAAGGCAGCCTCAGCGGCCGCCAGGTCAGCATCCCCCCATTGAACCGTGATGGCAGACATGCCCTGATATCCTTGGCGGCAATGATGGGAATGTCCTTGAACGCGGGGATAAGTTTGTAGTTGGCGTGGAGGAACATCACCATCTCTACCCAGTAGGTGTCGATGCGGCTCCTGCTGTGCGTGAGGAGATTAGCGCAACTACTGAAGTCGCGCTCTACCTGCGCGGCACCCGCCTGGTTTCCAAACACCTGCTGCGCTACTGGCGCCAGGTACGGAAACATCTTGCGACCAGTGTGTCGCCACCAAGGCAGTATGTCCCGGGTGTCCAACTGCACAGCAGCAGTACAGATCCAAGGAAGGGTGGGAGGGACGAAGATTAGAAAACGACACGAAAAACAACTGTAAATAAAAGTCAAACTGAAACTTCCTGCAGTTCGCATCCCTACTTTGACCTGTGACCGCGTCGAACTCAAGTCCTTCCGACCCTCCCTCCCGTTGAAAGCTCACAATTATTAAAAACAAATGCATATAAACTGCAAGGAAACTCACCTCTTGTGCCGTGATGTACAGCGACCGAAAGCGCTCGAGTTCTTGGGTGACCTGCTGCATGAGTATATTGTCCTCGCTGCCCCCCTCGCCCACGTCTCCAGTATCGCCGCGGACCCTGCTTCGCGCCAGGGAAGCAAACCTAGGCTTGGTTTTCGTGGCCAGCGTGCAGAGGCGCTTCAGAGGCGGTTGGTTGCCCTCTCCGGTCGCAGATGCCGAGTATTTCTTCCGCGCAGCCTCCGATGCCCTCGCTTTGATGTCCGCCCAGCAATCGTTCAGGTTCTGGTCCACCTCGGCGTCGAGGGTAGGAGCCAAGTGAGCTTTGCGTTGGTCAAGATGCTGCGAGTCTGCATCCGTCAAAGCATGCGCATGGAGAAATTTGGTGTCCTTGTGCGACGGGGTGAGCAGCACGGAGGCGTTGCGGAAAGGAGAAGGGTCGGCGCTGTCCTCGTCCCAAACCCTTCGGAACAACTTCTCCACGAGGGTTTTGGCGAGAAACTCCCGAGTGTTGGTGGTGACGGGACGCAAGGTAGCCGGCTCCACCATCTTGTGCGGCAGCGACTTCTTCTGTGGGAGCTCCTCGTCCGCCTGCTCTGCTTCCGGGGAGCCCGGGGTCGCCGGGATGTCGAACACCTTCAGCGGCACTTCGGGGTCGAGCACGTCCTTCTTGAGTTCGGCGAACGCCTTGTGCATCTCTGCCGCCATCGGGACGGCGCCGTACTGCCCGTCCCTAGTTACGGCGGCAAGAGGCTGGAGCAGCGAGAAGAGCTGGAGGATGTCGTCTTTGTTGTTGTCCTTGTCCAGGGGAAACTCCTCGCCATCATTGGCGTAGACCTTCCTCAAGACATGCCACAGGCGGATGATGCGCTCCATCACACGGACGAGGCTCAGCCATCGCTGGGGCGCGTGCCTCGAGATCTTCAAGGTCTCGCCCAGCATCTCCATCTGGGCCTCGTCGAACTTCTGCTTGAAGATGGGCGACTGGTTCACCTTGGCGGCGGCCTTGATGATGAGCGAGACCACCTGGCGCGCATCCTTGTTCCTCGATTTCTGGGGGTCGGCCGAGGTGCCGAAGGCGGCCTCGGCAGCCCTGTCCGCCAGGTGGCAGACACACCAGTCCCAGTAGACGTTGTGCTGTGCCAGGAGGAAGTTGGTGCACATCGCCTTGATGTCAGAACCAGAGTCCGTCGTTCCACCGGCGAGGTCCGAGAGCTTGATGCCGAACTCCGCCAGCAGCGATCTGAAGACGGTGAAGA